GGAAGAGCTGGGACTAGGAGATCATAAAGGAAGGAGTGGGAACACAAGCAAATTAAGACACAGGAAGATCATAAGGTTAAACAAATACAGCCAGAGACAAGCGAACTTAGATCTTCCACAAGATGGTAAAAAATCACTACCTGCATATAAACCAAACTTGGTGTAACACATCAACAGTGAGTTTCATACATCAAACGAGTCTGGACAGAAGTTTTAGCCCCCATAATACGGTGCACACACACACGTACACATGTGTATACACACATGCCAATACAGACAAACTATATATACATACACACACTTAAGTGCATGACTGTATTTTTTTCATTTTTTATCACAAAACTTAGCATTAATACTTTGTTCTCCAAACTGGCTTATAACAGGCAAAACTGCTTCTTAATCTACACTGCATAACACTTCCTCTGCTAAGTGAAAAAGCCTGCATCCTACAGAATGACTTTTCAACTAGACTACTTAAAGGTGTGTAGAAACCCTGCCACATTCAGCGAAGCAACTGTATCAAGAAAAGCTCATTAAATAGTAAACTGTTTTCTTCACTTACCCAATAAACTGACCAGTATTTTAAACTGAGAAACAACATGAATCTGGAAGAAAGAATTCTATTAGTGACTCCCTTCATTAATTAAACATCTGAACAAGGCTTGATTACAGACAGTTGAAGAAAATGCAGCTTAGATACTCTCAAAATAATGAAAACAGCCAGGCAGCTATCTATGCACAACCTTCTCCCAGGTACTGCAACCACTTTCACTTACGCTCAGTTTTTACAGGCTAGCACACAGAACTTGCAACCTAAGCTGGTAAAAAAAAAATCTATAGTAAGTGGTATGTTAGCAGTACAGAAGTACTTCTAAAGGATATGCAGAGTGCTGCTGAAGAAGCCTGCACAATCTTTCAGGCAAGTGCTTTCAATGAACCAGAGTTCTCAAAAAAAAAATAAATTAAACAGTAGTACAACTGGCAATAATCAGCTACTTTAGTTCTAATTTCCAAATAAGAAGAAGTCAATTCACATTCCTGCATTTTATCCAAGAGTCAAATTACACACTATATTCTGTTGGTGTATCACCATCATTTTCATAAATATTCTCAGCTGGAGCAGCTGAAGATTTACCACGAACAACAGCATTTTCATAAAAGTAAAAAATAAACTTGCAAGTTCCAATTCTGGAATCTCTGCTAAGCTTAACAAAAAACCATGACACAGCCAAACCAAGCTTGGGTTTGGGAAGAGTGGGCAAAAACACCAGGTTGTGCCAACTCTAGAAGAACCTATAGTTTAGATAAAATTTTTTGTTAAGCTTATCAAAGATTTCAGGGTTTACATTTGTTATTTTGTTTCTTAGCTAAAAATACTGGAAAACTGCTCCATGTCAAGAAGATGGTATTTCCTACCTGCTGAATCTTTTTTGAGAAGTTCTTGTTGGATTTCTCTAGTGTCACTTCAAACCTATTACAACCTACCAAAAAGATTTGAGAGTATAGGTAAAATGAGGTTGCCCTTAAATTCATGACTGAATGTATCTTACACTAAACAGATTACGAATGAAAGCAAACTTGGCCAGTTAGCACTAGAAGAACAACTCTAGCATATCTGTGCTATATTTTACTTAATAGCTAAATGCATCAGAAGGTCTTCTACACAGGTAAAAATTTAAATTACATTGCACCTATCCAAGGACCTCATCAATAGTTACATTTTTGCCTTGCTAAAGTTTTAGATTACAAAAACTATATTTAAGTATTTTCAAACCCAGAGACAGAAAGATACCCATAAAGACTTCATTCACAGCAATCCAATATCAGCAATTTAAATTGCTATGGGACACATCACTGCAAATAGACAAGGAATAAACAGTACACCACAAGGGTTTAAAAGGAGTTTTAGGGATAAAGACTTACAGACACTTTCTGATGACATAACCTCTCCTGGCATTGATGCAAAAAAGGGGGAGAAATTTACCATGTGAGATAAGACACTAGCAACTCAAGACTAGCATATTCTGATTGGAATAGACAGCCCACAAGTTTCAGAAAAAGCAAGCTGAATTCAGTCTTTAGAATCCAAGTAGCTACAAATTAACATCTTTCAAAGAGCTGATTAACTTGGATATAGATGTTTGTTTTTTTGTTTCCTGTCCCACAGTACGCTACATTTCTGTGTTCAATAACAAGTTTCTCCATACCAGCAGATAATGCAAAATAAATATCTGTTTACTGAAAACCAATTTTAACTAAACAGAAAATAGTTCTCTTTGTGGAATCCCCAAAATAGACTATGAACATACATGACTGTCAAAAAGGCAGGGAGAACAGTAAATACATGACAGAACTGGTTGGGAAGGGATCCCTCTTCCCCATCCTTTTGACATTCATGGACCCACTGAATAAAGTTGTTATTTCATTAACCCAGTCCTCCATTAACAGGAGATAAACATCAAAGCTCTGGCAAAGAGCACACTGCACTGCTTTAGCCCATGTTTGTGTGCTGTACTCACAAAAATTACACTGACTATAAATTCAAACATATGCAGATATGACAAAAAACATACTTTAAAACAGGAAAAAAAAAGGCTGATACCACTTGCTGTCTTTCTTGCACATCTGATAAATGCTATGTATGCTTTCACCAAAGATCCCCCACAAAAATTCACTAAACTCTTAAGTAGGGAAAAATCAGCAATTGCACATATTTGCATTAACATCACCACCACCTCTCTTGAAGTGCAGGAAATAAAAATAACTCAATCAACTTTGTGTGCCATTCTTAAAATGAACTTACCTATGTCTTTCTTGATCCTGTAAAGAAGAAGATGCCCTTGTTTGGTACCAACAAGGAGCCACTCCTCTGCAAAGATGGGGGAGAAAGAAAGTCTAATTACTTTCAACAGATTGCCCTCTCTAGCCAAGTCACTTTTATCAGAACACTTGGAAATGTTTTTCAAATGCCAAAGAGTACTTTCTGTGCCAGCTACACACATGCATCCTACCATCCCTCTGATGGAAGTGCTCAGAAGTAGCTTTCATTCTCAGAAGACGATGGCAAAATATCAGGCAGTAGAGCAGAGAATATAACTTAGACATTACATCCCACTTGTTAATACAGAGATGAAGAGGAAAACCATTGCATCTTTTGTGCAATCAAAAGAGGTAATAAACTATTTTTCAGACTTTATTAGCTCCCAGAGATGAACTTTATTTATTTATTAGATCCCAGAGAGTGACAATAATGTGAAGAACTGTCAGGAAGAAAACCAAGGAGTTCAAACATGGATTTGTTTGGTTTTTTTAAAAATAGCCGAGTTTCTGTAAGAACTCTCTGAAATAGTCAGCTATGCCTGGACAGACAAGAGGCAGCTTTGCTTAAACAGCATTTGAATTGCTTGGATGAGCAACAGTCGTTCCAGATTTACAAAAGAGAACCTTTTTATAGACAAACTCTGTGGCAGACTTTCAGACTCTTCCTATTTACAACATTTATAGGTTACAAAAGCCACAGAATCTTTACTGGGTCATAAGATATGACTGAAACTCTTCCTCCTCGCTGAAGATAATCTAGGAAAAAAGCACAGACAAATATTTCTTCCTACAACTAGTACTACCCCATTACCAAAAATACTTGCATTTTAATAAAATCTTGTTTCCTGTAAGACCTTTCTTCCACCATTTGGTAGAAAGGTTGTAGAGACCACATTACACCCTGCTACACAGTCATCCTGTCACATCCCTGTGGGTTTAGCTTTTTTCACACTTGAGCAAAATAAATGCTTTCAAAGATATATAGAAGCCTCAACACAGGCATAAACGATCTTCATATCTTCTCTACCACATAACTCCAGCATAAGCAACCCACGTTTAAACGTGGCATTACTACTCAGCTTGTAATTTTGTTTTTGAAACGGATTAAAGGGGTCACAATTCCAGCGTTTTAAGTTTGTTGGTTTTTCTTACTTAGCAATTTTGTGCTCTGGTAGCACATCTGATGAAAACTGCCGGAGCTGTTTGAAAAGCCTTAACATCACCACAGCCGGTGCAACCACCTGACCAAAATCCTGACCGCCAGGTAGCCCAAAAACGCAGCCTACGTTTACACACCACTAACACACGCTAACAGATCACAAACCGAAGACCTGAACGCCCCAATGGCTTCCCAAGATGAGTTTCAGCAAAAGCAAAGGGACCTCGTTCTCAGCAAGGAACCACCCGGCCCAGGGTCACAGCAACGAGGGCAGCC